AGTAGTGGTAGTATGTGGGGGAGGAGGAAAAGGAGTAAAGGAAGAGGGGGAAGAGGAGGCGGGACGCTGGTGATGATGGTGGCTGCGGTGGTGATCTCGTTACATGCGCGTCCTCCGATGTGTCATTTCTTTCAGGTCTTCCACGCGGTGCCCGAGCTCGCAGGTGGGCTCCCCATCGATGACATTGCGTCTGTGTTGGCCTTCGGCTTCTTTGGCGTGAAACTGCTCCTGGACGCTTCGAGCATGGAGGACGCTTGATCGAATATATGCTTTCGGCGGCCAGCGATCGGACACAGAGAGCCCAGCGCAAGGGATCAACGGCGCGAGCAAGATTTAGTGTAGCAGTGACTATTCCTCATTCCCCTTCTTGTCTTCTCTCTTCTTCTCCGTCTCTGTTTGGCTTCAATATTTCTTGCCGTCGTCGCCCGCCTCCTGATCCTCCCATCTCCCTTTCATTATCCTTCTTGCTGTTTCGTTCCGCCTTCCTCTCTGTCTCCCTCCAGTTTCGGCCGTCCTCCGTTCTCCGTCCTGCCTTCTCCTCTCCTCATTGTTGTTCTTTCGCGGATTTGCAGTTAGCCCTGCTGACTGAGGCCTGAACGCAAAACAACGGCTGCACGTCCCCGCAACGTATGTGACCGTCGTGCCGCACCGTTTCCAAGACTCAGTCCATATTACACCTGCGTTTCATTGCGTTCCTCTGCGTCCCTCTGCGTTCCTCTCGTCTCCCCAACCTTCCCTCCTGTCAATCCACGCTTTCGTCTACGCGAGAGAGCGCCCATCGGCTCTCTGCGGAGAGGACACGTCGTCCATGCTAGACGAGAAGGAAGAGGCCGAGGAGGCCGTGAAGGACAGTCGGGGCCAGGCGGTCCGCTGCCTCCAGCGGGGGAATTCCAGTTCCCTTCCTCCGCCCATTCCTTCAGGTGTGATCGGAAACTGGAGCATATACATTACCTGTGGCTGGCTGTTGCTCAAGACCAGGACTATTGTGAGGGTCTGGGGCGACGTCGGGGTGGAGTGGTGTATGCTTGTTCAGAGTTGGCGGGAACGGTTGGCTCACCTGCAGTGCAGTTTCGCCGGCCAGCTTGGACAGAAACCCGACAGCTGGGCGTACCGGGTATCAAGTTGGAGCCCGCCCGCCATTTATCCTGAGGCAGGCCGTTGACGAGGCCGTCCAGCATATCGCTGGGACGATCACTTACAAACGCATTCGCTTGCAAAGTTTGGTGGGCCATGGTACGTCGCTGCTCGAGACTGGAGAAATTGTGTGCGCAGGCCCAGGGCTACGCGCAAGACTTCTGAGGTCAATTCCGCATGCTAATTTTCCATTGCCCACACGCATTTATAGTTCTCTGTCCACTTCCGCTTGCGGATCCATTCGACTCGACCCGGCCCTGCCTGCCCAGCGACACAACGAAACATCTACACACCAGGATCCCGTATATACCAGGATCCGATATCCTGTGCGAGTATCAGTGCGGGGCGGGAAAAAGGCGTCGGTGTGTAGAGTTCGGTTCCTTAGTTGACGGAGCGCAGAGCTGGTGTGGCGGGGGCCCCGGGTGGCTGCCTTTGAGCGCACAAAGGGCTTCACTCTGAGGCCTTCCCGCCCTCTAGCGAGGCCTTTTTCGGAGCCTTCGGTCACTCTAGGAAAGGCCCCCCTTCACTGCCTTCTTAGAAGGCCGCTTCTCTCGTTCCACTCCTGTCTGCTCGCTGGAAGACTGTCCCCCGTGCGCGCGTATGAAGGGGAGAACATTGTGATGTTGGTGTCGTCCCGGCTTAGGATCGTTGTCTGCCCGACGTCTGTGGTTTCCCGGTTCAGGATCGCACAAGAAATGTCCACGTGCCCCCGGAAGAAAGCCCAAGAAGGCATGTTTCGGCTTAGTACAGTCGGGCGCAACGAATATGTCTCAAAGAAGGCTCTAGCGTTCACGACGTCATGTACTCCGTCAGGTTGCCTAGCATATCGTACCCGCCTAGGCTTCCATTGGCCATATCAGTGCATGTGTGCCGCGCTAGCAATGCTGCCACCACAATGAGCTGTCGTGCCGTCCTCTGCAGCAAGTCCAGGGGCTCGACAGACAGTGGCCCCTCTGGACTGGACGCCGAGATCGTGGAACATCAGTCGGTGTGACTCTTTCCAGATCCCCTCCCAGAGTGTCCGACGATCGAGCCCATTGTGCTGCCATGTTCCCTTGACCTGCGTTAGGGGCGCGCGATGGTAATCGCATCAGTGTTGGCCAGTGTGGACCACAAACAGTGCGTTTCTAGCAATCGATGGTGTGCAAAATACGTGGTGCCAGGTATTTTGTCCATTCTACGTGGTACAATCCATGTGGCATATGTGTTGCAATCCATGTTTTTCAATATATTCGGTCCAATACATGTTGTGCAACCTATGTTGTGCACGCTACATGGTGCAATGTATGTTGCGCTATCTATGCTGTGTACTCTATGTGGTGACATCTACGTGGTGCAATGTAATATCTTGTGTCCAGTCCATGTGGTGTTACATTTGTGGTGTGGTCAATGTTGTGCATTCTTTCCGGTTCATCATGTATTGTGCAGGTTTTGCCGTCCGCACTACGTGTGCACCCGATGTGGTGCAGCCGATGTGGGTTAGAATTGGTTGTGCACCTTATGAGTTGTAAGCTATGTTGTGACATCTATATTGCGCAGCATCTGCGGTCCAGTATACGTTGTGCAAACTATCTGGTGATAACTATGTGCAATCTGGGCAGTGCGGTCAATGCGGTGCAAATTACGTATGTTGTGCAGTTGATGTCTGTTCGCAGTGAGTTGTCAACTCGATTGCTTGCGCAATACTCCCACCCGCCCGCAACTTGTTGTGCAAAACCCATGTGGCTGCAATTGCGATGAGTGCTTGGCGTTGGCTGGTGCATCTCTGCGGCCGCGCTAGCCCGCGCACGCTCGCGCGCACAGAGCGACCAGCTAGTTTGGCGCGACCGACGCGGCCGCGGTGGCGGTGACCGCTGGGCACTTCCCAGCGGGCACTTCAGTGCGAGTCGGTGACTGGGGCGGGCGCGGTATTACGCCGACGCAAACACGTGTAGACACGATTATGTAAGTAGCGATGTTGGTGGCGATGATTGCGGTGACGGCGGCAAGGCCAATGATTGCGCCGATGTTGATCACGCGCGCCGATAACGATGACGATGTCCTCGCGTCGGCGCTGGAGGTTGTAGAACGAGCTCGGAATGCGCGCGCGACCGACGCGCGCGAGTGGCCCGCGTGGTCTTTATCTGACACGGACCGTGCCCCCCCAGCACGTGCGCAAGGGCGTTCGAATGAGCTCGACATGCGGCGCGAGAGGTCCGTTTGGCACACTGTGATGGACATGGTCGAACACCGATGGTTGTTTCCTTAGGAATCCGCACGAGCGCGGGCGCAGGATCGATTTGAAAACTGCAATTGCAGTATTTCATGTTTTAGTATGTTACATTATCTATTCGGGGCATTCGGCTTCGACATATTTTAGAAAACGATATTTTACCCAAAGGGTGACGACGGGCGCGCGCATGTCGTCGCATTGTTGGCCAGGGAATTATTGCGACAGCGCGCGCACAAAGAGCGTCGGAACGATTTCAACGCGCGCGCGAGAAGCCAATGTGGACACAGTTTCTGAAACATGTTGGAACAATCTACAGTTTTCGTGAGAATTCGCAAGGCCGCGGGCGCAAACGTTTGTTTGACAGTTCTGGGTGGAAAGCCACGTGTGTGTGTGCATGTTTTTTTTGCACAGATGAGCGTTTTCATGGCGCTCGATGTGGGGATCCTTACGAAACCCAGATTTTCTCCAAGGGTTTCGGCATGCGCGCGAGACGACGCGCGCGTGCACCTCGTCCCATTTCTTGCACAGGGGTTTTTGCGACAGCACGCGCGCAAAGGGCGTTCGAACGATTTTGATGCGCGCGACAGGCCAAGTTGGAAACATGTGATGTGCCTTTTGAGAAGCCGATGGTTTCCGCAAGAATTCGCAAGCGCGCGGGCGCAAATTTGTTTTGACAATTATGGCTGCAATGCCGCGTGTGTGTTTGTGTAAAAAAAGTTCTCGTGACGCTCGATCTTGAAATCCTTACGAAACCGGATGCGCTCGCGACGCCGCGCGCGTGTGCACTTCGTCTCATCGTTTGCGCAAAAAGTCTTCTAAATAACGTATGGTTTCTGATAAACGAGAACGAGCGCATAGTAGTTTGTTGCAGATGATGGCGGAAGGGGGGTCGATACCGGGCTTGTTGGGATGGTGCGAGTTCGTAGCTCGGATGGACGATGGGGCAGAATCGTAAATAACTTGCAGTTCGCAAAGGCGAACGGTTAATGCCAGGGGGGGAGATTGATCATATTTGTTGGTCGGCGGAGATTTTACGGTGGCGACGAGGCGGCGACGGGGCGGCGACGGCGCACACATAGCCGTCAGACCGGCTGACAAGACAAGGCGGTGAGCGGCGACGAAGCGGCGACGGGGCGCCGACGGCGAAAGCGTAGCCGCCAAACCGACAGACAAACCCGAACGACGGGCGGGAACGAGGCGGCGACGGGGCGGCGAGGGCGACTTCATAGCCACCAGACCGACAGAAAGGCCCAGACGACGGGCGGTGTCGAGGCGGCGACGGGGCGGCGACGGCGACAACATAACCACCAGACCGATTGAAAGGCCCAGAGGACGGGCGACGACACGGCGGCGACGGGGCGGCGACGGCGACAGCATAGCCGCCAGACGGACTGAGAGGCCCAGTTCCTTAGAAGGGAAGTAGGAACCCCAAGTGCAAGCGTTGTTTGGGGGTAAAGGTATACACATACACAAATGTATATACATTTGTATATGTATACACAGACAGAGGTTTATAGACGTGGAGAGGAGGAAGTGGAGGAGGAGGAGGAGGAGGAGGAGGAAGCGGAGGACAGGGGAGGGTGATGGGAAGGGGCCTGCCCCACGCCGGTTGTAGCCCCAGTGCAGCTCGGGTAGATCTTGGACGTGCAATGTTTGATTGCCGTGGGGCAAAGGACGGGGCGAGTCTTTCTCGGTATCTCTGCGCTTCGATTTCGTTGTGATCTGGGAGGCCTCTAGTTAGTCCACCTGGCCCACCCTGCCTTCTGGGGTGGCCTCCCCCCAGTTTCAGGGTGGAGCAGTGACGGGCGGCGAGTGCGCCTCCACGCGCCGTCCCGCCCCCTGCGCGCGGGAGGGGCCGAGAGCTGGAAGCGGGCCCCGGGTCTTCGAACGCATGGGAGAGGAGGACGGGGGGAATGAGGGAGGACCAAGGGCGCTCTCGAGGGTGCGAAGTCATTCGCGTTACGTGGTTCGGCTCCGATTCCTCGTCGTCCTCTTTTTCTCCCCTGGGGGGGCGGCGCGAGAGCGCGAAGTTATTCGCGCTTCGCGCGGCGCGAGATGCGAAGTTAGGCGCCCTCAAGGAAAAGCAGACAACGTCAAAGAGGGTGAAGGAGGAGGACCATACTGAACCCAAGATGCATCCTCGACGCTGCAATGCACCCTCCCGTCCCAAATTCCCTCGTCCCCTTCTCACACGTCCATACAAAGCTTTCCGTTTCACTGCAAGGTGCGCCTTCGCCATTCAGGCGGGAGCCCCGTCTTGAAAATAAATTGCCTTGCATCTTTCTAGTGATTTAAAGTGATGAAGGGGGTCATCATACAGCTCAACGAGGTGTCCAGCAATTTTCTTTTGACAAAAAGGGACAGCGATATGTGTGGAACTGCTGCAAAAGGTTCTCTTCTGGCCATACTGCGAGGATGTCCCAAGCGAGAACCCCATTTTGTGGACCATCCCCTATCCCCGTAACTGTTGTCGTGTCTGTCGCATTATTTTAAAACGGATGGGCGCGGCTCTGATACGAGAGCCCCATTTTGAAGAGGTACATCCCTCCATCCACGTAATGGTTGCAAGCTTTTACTGGCGAATGTGCCCGGCGGTGAGGCGAGAGCCCCACCTTGGATGTGAACCGCCTTCTATCCATGTAAATGTTGCAAGTTTTGATTACGAATGCGCGTGGCGCTAAGGTAAGTGTCACATCATGGAAACGACCCTCCATTCATGTAATTGCTGCAAGCTTTCAAGGCGAAGGCGCGAGACGCTACAGATCCATATGTTGACCCCCTTCCATCGGTATCCCGCACTGGAGAGCGATCTTCTGATTATCCTGTGGATGCCGTGCTACTTTTCAATTCTGTGAATCTGCTCCGCCATGTGTGGAGCCGACGGCCAAGGGAAAGGTGGTCCCTGCTCGTGTGTCCAGGGCCTGCATCCCTCTCACAAGGGCCCGTCGAAAGCCATCTGTGAGGCAGTCCACTTGGACGCTGTCCGCTAGGCTCGAGCTCGCGCGCCGGAGAGGGGCTTGCAGCCCCCAGGGCCCCCGCTCGAAGAAGCTGGGGCCTCCTGGATGCAGTTTTTTTGTTGTTGGTGTTTTTGAGGAGGAGGAGGAGGAGGCCGTGCAGGCTGGCTCCGAGGAGGATCTGAGGATGAATGGAGGAGCGTTGGTGGGTCCGTCGTCGTCGAGTGGTGCGGGATCGAGCGAGGAGGCGAGGGTGCTTCGTGCTGCGTCCGCGACCCTGCGTGCGCCCGCGCCCTCGTGTCCCTGCACCACGTCGATTTTTCGGGTGCGCCAGCAGGGACCGCCCCACCCCCTCCACCGCCGTCCCCCCTCGGACTCCTCCGATTAGGCTGTGTGGGTCTCTTTTCCCCACGACCCTAAGTCGCTGTCCTTTTAGCCCATTCAACCACCCTCATATGCGTGACTGCTGGAGGGTCTTAGCTCAAGAGTGATCAACGTAGAGGAAGTCTCAGGAGAGACCCAGCCCGCTCTACCAACGAGTCAGGGGGTCCGACAGGGAGGAGCTATATAGAAACAAAGGGGATAGGGGGATAAGGAGGGTGGATGACGAGGATGGATGAAGGAGGGGTGAGGGGGAGGAGGAGGCGCAGGAAAGAGAAGAGAAGGAGGAGGACGAGAAGGAGGAGGAGGAGGAGGAGGAGGAGGAGTCTCCCGAAGGAGGCAAGAGAGGATGAGGATGGAGGAGGAGGAGGAAGAGGAGGAGGAGGAGGAGAAGGAGGAGGAGCTGAAGGTGGAGGTGGAGGAGGAGGAGAAGGAGGAAGAGGAGGATGGATAATGGATGAGGAAGGAGGATGGAGGAGGGCAGGAGGATGAAGGATGATGAGGCGGAGGAATTACAGAGGGAGAGGTCATGGCAGACCAGCCCTTGCCCTTGGGGAGGGGGAGGTGGCTCATTGCTTCAGCGACCACAACAGTGCACGACGGATCTCCGCAATCAAGACGTTGGGCGGCATTACAGGATCCGGCTTGAATAAGGAGCTTTTAGGGGCTCGGTCGTTCCTTTGGTTTGCATGAGTCCCGCTACCTTTTTGGCGGCGAGCGCTCCTGGTGTTCCTTCGGACTTCCTAGCTTACTTGGAAAAAAGGGGCTTCGTTCCTTAGTTATCGTTCCTTAGGTCAGGCCGAATACTGTAGAGACTCC